TACTTCATTGGTAATTAGCATCTCCAGAGAGGATGGAAATACTAAGGGAGGCTGAAGTGGAACTCAAGGTAGCCCAATTTCACTTCTTGGCAATAAGTTCAGCAAAAATGATTTATTGTGGAGAAAAGACTAAAGTGAATGGAGTCCTCACCTTAGGCAAGTTCAACTTATCAACAAGCAGATTTACAAACTACTTAAACCAGAGGTTAATGAAAATTATTTGCTTTATAAAATTACTCCACTTAGTAATATGTTTAATAAACATAAAATCCTTGAGTTTCAAATATTCTTTAACTTCCCAAAATGTGTTTTACATATTGTGTTTCAAGAATATAACTAAAGAAAAGCTTATCTCTGTTATGAGGGAAGGGAAGATGGCTAAAATGATAGTTATTTTCATTTATTTTTATGGTTTCAGAACCTATCTTAAAGCAAAGCAATGTTCTGTGATCAGGTTTTCAACATTAATTTTTCCTGACTTCATACTAAACTCTTCTTTGCATTGTTTAAGTCTGTAAATAGAAAAAATAATGTGGGTCCACAGATTAAAAAAAAGTCTTACTTTCCATAACCATGAAATAGAAGAAGACAAATATTATACATGTTCAGATTCCCAATATGCCAGAATTAGAAGACTATAGCTATAATCAAGAACAACATTAACTTTCAAAATGATGTCTTTGAAAAATAAAAAGAAATGCCCAAACAGCAAAAGCACTCCTATATAAAGCCACAAACGTTTCTATTGGGAATTACAGAATCTAAATAACAATCTTTCATCTGAAAACATGGCACGTTAGTAATAACTCTGACACAAAAAAGTAGGTTTTGCTCTTTCTGGGTTGCAGTCAAGAAATGTAACATTTGTCCAGCAAAGGTTTGATGAGCACCTACCGTGTGCAAGACGTCTGCTCTGGAATTCACAAAGATGACCCTAGCCCGCTTGGAACTTAAGCCTGGAAGAAGAAAAAGTCACTCATGGGATAACTACCAAATCACACAGTGTGCATACACGTCCAAGAAGGTCCCAGGGGGCCATGTGAGCCAGAAGAGAAGAGGCAAGATGTGACCGGGGTTATCAAAAAGGAGTTCACAAAAGGTGACACTGGAACTACACCAAAAAAGAAAAGATGTGCCTGATTTAGATGAAAGAAGGAAAGAAGAGAAAACTGGAAGAAGTAAAGTGTCTTCTTGTCATTTTGACTTTTTATTTGGAAATGTTCAAGCTTAAACACAAAGAGGCCGTATAGTATAACAAACCCACATGTACCTACATATCGTTTCAAAGCATCAGCCCGCGGGCGATCCCGGTCCATCTACATTCACTGCTTTATGTCCCACTCTCTGATCAGATTGTTTTCAAGCAAATACAAGACCTCACATCATTTTATCAGCAAGGATGAAAGTGTGTATCTTTAAAAGATAAAGACTCTTTCTTTAGACTTGTTGGGGTATTTATTTTTATATCTATTTAATAAACACTGGCCTAAGTGCTTTACAAATAGCAATTCATTTAACCCTCAACACAGTTCTATAAAGTAGGCACTATTATGCTTATCATTTCACAGATGAGGAAACCAAAGCCCAGAAGGTTAAGTAACTTGCCCAAGGTTGCCCTGCTGGTAAATAGCAAGGCAAGATTTGAACCCAGGTGTTCAGGCTCTGATCAGTGCTCTCCAACTACAGTAATCTATACTGCTGGTAAAGATATGGCTTGCTCCTTCAGATGCCAAGTGTAACTTACATATGGGTCATTTTTATACCCTATATTCCCACTTGTCTTAAAAAGAGTCCTTCAACCAAGAATAAAAGGTCCATTCGCACACTTATTTCAATGAAATAAGACTAGGTTAACAAGGACATGCCACTTAAAACATGCTTTTTTTTTTCTTGAGTTGGAGTCTCAGTCCGTCACCCAGGCTGGAGAGCAGTAGCATGCTCACAGCCACCCCAGCATCCACCTGCTGGGCGATCCTTCCACCTCAGCCTTCCAAATAGCCATAACTACAGGAGTGTGTTAGTATGCCCAGCTAATTTTTTATTTGTTGTAGAGACAAGGTCTTGCCAAGTTGCCTGGACTGGACTCAAATGTGCGGGCTCAGGCAATCCACTCACCTCAGCCTCCCAAAGTGCTGGGATTATAGGCTGAGCCACCGAGTCCAGCCAAAACATGCATGTTTTAAGTAACTCTACTACACACAATTCAGACAAAGCATGAACTCCAAAGTGGCCAAATAAGTGCATGAGTACCAAGACGACTGAGGTAGGCTCATGCATCACGCATACGCAATTGAGCTATTCGATATCATTATTTTGATGATAAAAGCACAGTGGTCTCAAATATGATTTTAAAAATCCAGTTTCATCAACTCTACCACTGCATTCCTTCTACTGCAACATCTAAACCTAAGAACTATAGGCCGGGCACAGTGACTCGTCTATAATGTTAGGACTTGGGGAGGCCAAGGTGGGAGAACTGTTTGAGCCCAGGAGTTCAAGATCAGCTTGAGCAACATAATGAGACCTCGTCTCTACAAAAAATTATCCAAGTTTGGTGGTGCATGCCTGTAGTTCCAGCTACTCAGTAGGTGGAGGCAGAAGTATCACCTGAGCCCAAGAGGTTGATGAGCCATGATCATGTCACTGCACTACAGCCTGGGTGAAAGAGTAAGACCCAGGCTTAAAAAAAAAAAAAGTAAAAACTGTCACAAGCACCACTAAAACATGGAATTAATTTGACTTACACAAATGTCACAATTAATTTAATCTGAAGTAATCGTTTAACTATAAAAACTGCTAGTTTCCCAATTCTATTAAATAATCAAAAGATTAATAAATTAATTTAATCACTATAATATGCATACGTGTGCATATATACATATCAACATATATATACAGATGTAGGAACATATAGCCATGCACATATACTAGTGACATTTCATTTTAATATCTGAAAACCTAGATGTGTGAAAAGTATAAATGTGTTTGTATATATGGATGTGACATCCATTTTTAAAATACAGAAAAACTACCATCTCTATTAGGAATTTAAAAAACTTAGTTCACATTACAATAAATGTCAAATGAATTCCAAGAAAAAAACTGTCTACCACATACTAAATAATGTACTTTAATAGATACTTTAGCTGTGGCAAGAGGCCTTCTCACATTCCTTTTCTGTGTTCAAGTGACACTTAGAAGAAAAGTAGAAACATTCTTCCTTTTGAAACCACCCACAGTAACAATGTCGTATAAGGAAAGACTCAACATAAATGTGCTTCTGGTTTGGACTGGAGCTAAATCCATGAAGAAGAAAAGGAAATGATTCCTAAAAAAGATTTGACAATATCATTAGGAATGTTTATTTTATTGTCATTGAGTGAAAAGATAAAAGAACATTATTTTATTACTTTTGCAAGAAGAGAGAAAAGCATATAATTTTTCACATGTTTTACGTCTAATAGTTAAAAACATTAAGCCCATTAAAGAAACTCAGAAACATCCTGGGAAACACAGACCATGAGAAATGTGTCCACCAGGTGTGGTGGCTCAAGGCTATAATCCCAGCACTCTGGGAGGCTGGGTGAGAGGATTGCCTGAGCCCACAGGTTCGAGACCAGTCTGGGCAACTTGGCAAGACCTCGTCTCTACAATAAATAAAAAAATTAGCCAGGCGTGGTAGTGCGCCTGTAGTTCTGGCTACTTGGAAGGCTGAGGCGGAAGGATTGCCTGAACCCAGCAGGTTGACACTGGGGTGACCGTGAGCATGCCACTGCACTCCAGCCTTGACGACAGAGTAAGATTCCAACTCAAAAAGAGAAAGAGAGAGAGAAATGTGTCACTTACAGAGATTAGGTAACTACACAGCAAGGTCAATAAGGGCTTGGCAATTGTAGGCTAAATTGACAGAAAGAAGGAATTTACTACCTCTTAAAGCCATAGAATCTTATCTTCCTGGAGCAAACATATAATATACAGCCTCTACATTTTAAATATTATATTTAGAAGATAAAAACAAAACAACTAAAATTTTAACAAAAAAGAAAAACTGGGGTACGTAACTTATATAGTCACTAATATAGCAAATTAAGGCAATGGTTACTGGGGGGAAGGGAAGCAATTTAAAACTTTGTGGGGATGTTTCACAGTAATTGTTGAGAGCAGGAATGTTAAAAAAAAAATACCCTGCATTCCCTGGGAGAATGCTATGCATGCAACAGCAATCCCCCATGCTGCAGGATTTTCCAATCTTTTGCTGCACATTCATGTAGGTAAAATTATCCGAGCTGGAGCCTAATTCTGTTTTATATATAATCACCTGGGATTCGGCAACACTTTTGAGTTTTCTGGGAAAGCAACTATCATGTAAATTGAGAAAAGACTATACTTTGTTTTGTTGGGAACTTTATGAAGAGTTGTTCGGCACTTTGAAAAATCAGGTCCCTGACAGCAACACTCCTTGTGGGAGCTGAGTTGCCACAATAACACACCTGTATCCACCTATTCTTGGAGCTCTAGGCATTGAGAGTAGAGCAGTGAACACATACACAATTGTGCATCACGTCACTCCATTTCTCAACAATGTGTGCTGATTCCTCCCCGATCTCCCTCTCTGCCCCAATACTTCTGGAAATGTCCATTGCAAACCTCTGACTGTTAGCATGTGAGGTCATTTGGAGTCAGTCCTCGTTAGCAAATACTCAACCCCCTGACAAAGTTATTCCCTGAAAATCTCAGGCTTTTCCATGTCTTCCAGTGTTTATTCATGCCAGTCCCTCTCCAAACATACTTTCCACCATTCTCTCTGTCCTTCCCAACCCTGGCACACTCCGGGGCCCCCCTCAAGTGACACTTCTTTCACAAACTCTTCCTAGGTCCTACCTTTCGATGTGGATTATTTTCCTTCATATCTCACATTACAAACACAGGCAGGTCTTGCTACTTGGTTCCGAACCTCGCCCTGAGCGGATACCTGCGGGGACGCAAGCTAAGATTTCAGAATGACTACCATCTTGACTTACTCTTTTAAAAAATCTTCCCAGTACATCAAAATGGTCCCTCAGATTTTCTTTAAGACCTCTGAGCTGTTCCTCCCAGCTAAGAGCTGCCCCAGCTGTCCAGACCAAATCAAAGAAGACCTTAGCCAAACCCAATATAAGGAATATCGTGGTGGTGGATGGTGTTTGCACTCCATTTTTGCTGTCAGGTACTTCATACAAAGACCTGATGCCACATGACTTGGCTGGAGCAGCACTTACAGGTTTGTTACATGGGACCAATGTTCCAAAGGAAGTTGTTGATTATATCATCTTTGGAATATGATTATATATCATATTCAGGAGGTAAAAACAAGCAACGTGGCTAGAGAGGCTGCCCTTGGAGCTGCCTTCTCTGACAAGACTCCTGCTCACACTGTCACCATGGCTTGCATCTCTGCCAACCAAGCCATGACCACAGGTGTTGGCTTGCTTAGTTCTGGCCAGTGTAATGTGATTGTGGCAGGTGGTGTCGAATTAATGTCCGATGTTCCTGTTGGTCATTCAAGGAAAATGAGGAAAATGAGGAAAATGATGCTTGACCTCAACAAGGCCAAGACTCTGGGCCAGCGACTATCTTTACTCTCTAAATTCAGATTGAATTTTCTATCACCTGAGCTTCCTGTGGTGGCTGAGTTTTCCACCAGCGAGACGATGGGCCACTCTGCAGACCGATTGGCCACTGCCTTTGCTGTTTCTCGACTGGAACAGGATGAATATGCACTGCGCTCTCACAGTCTGGCCAAGAAGGCACAGGATGAAGGACTCCTTTCTGATGTTGTACCCTTCAGTGTACCAGGAAAAGATACAATTACTAAAGATAATGGCATCCGTCCTTCTTCACTGGAGCAGATGGTCAAACTAAAACCTGCATTCATCAAGCCCTATGGCACAGTGACAGCTGCAAACTCTTCTTTCTTGACTGATGGTGCATCTGCAATGGTGATTATGGCAGAGGAAAAAGCTCTGGCCATGGGTTATAAGCCAAAGGCATATCTGAGGGACTTCATGGATGTGTCTCAGGATCCAAAAGATCAACTATTACTTGGACCAACATATGCTACTCCAAAAGTCCTAGAAAAGGCAGGATTAACCATGAATGATATTGATGCTTTTGAATTTCACAAAACTTTCTCAGGTCAGATTTTGGCTAATTTTAAAGCCATGGATTCTGATTGGTTTGCGCAAAACCACATGGGTAGAAAAACCAAGGTTAGAGTGCCTCCCTTGGAGAAATTCAATAACTGGGGTGGATCACTGTCCCTTGGACACCCGTTTGGAGCCACTGGCTGCCAGCTGGTCATGGTAGCTGCCAACAGATTACGGAAGGAAGGAGGCCAGTATGGCTTAGTGGCTGCCTGTGCAGTTGGAGGACAGGGCCATGCTATGATAGTGGAAGCTTATCCAAAATAATTGCTCCAGAAGAGGTGACCTGAAGTTTTTGTGCAACACTCACACTAGGCAATGCCATTTCAATGCATTACTAAATGACAACTATCGTTCCCAGCTCCTCTTAGGAAAACAATACTTGTGGCCTTCTGTTAAATACTTTGCAACTAAGCCTTGCCAGTGTTCTGAGCTTCTCAACAACTACAGCTTATTCTCCTTTCAGGGATTTCTAAGCCACCAGAATCTCACACTGATATGAGTAAACAGTTGTTTTTGGTGTCTGTTGTCATTAAAGACTAAATGAGTGGTTGCAATTGGGAAAGTGGTTGACTGAGATTTTGAGTCATCTTTGTGACATTTGCAAATTATACTTGTCCCTGTCTGTGTCCTAAAGATAAGTGTTTTCTATAAAATACAAACCAATGTGCCTACATTAACTTAATTATGGAAAAAATGATTCAGAATCTAAACATGACTGAAAATGTATAATAAATGTTAAATACATAAATCCCATGATGGTCAACATTAATAAAGTAGAGAAGGATTGAGGAATTGTTTGCTTTATTATTACTATTTTTTTTTTTAATGAGGTGGAGTGGGTGGTTCTCTTGGCTTAGGGGCAGATTTTGTCCTGTAGTACTTATTTGTAACTTCTAACAATTTTGGTCAACAATGAGGTTGCATAGAATAATACCTATTGTTTCCCCATTGTTGGATTGAAGTAAATTTATTTCACTGCTTGGAGGTGCATCTGTTAGTCTGAATGTAAATAAAAAGAAAAGAAATTTTTTCTTTTGATCAATGACTAAAACAAAAAACAAAAAACAAACACAGGCAGTCTGGGTACCTGATTATGTTCAGTTTATCATTCTATTTTCACAGTCTGGTGCTGTTTTCTTATTGCTTTCTGTCTTATCTTTCCCCAGAGGAATATAATTTTGAGTGCAGAAACAATTCCATACTTTTTTTTTGAGAAAGCAGTATTTATTGAGAGGACAGAAAAGCATACCTCTTTTTTGATACAAAACCTATTTTCCAAAGTCATAGGTATATAAGTGGTGTTCAATGAACTCTAATTGAAGGCCAACTCTTAATTTCTCATTTTAGGGAACTGGGATCAATATTTTACAGAACACAGAATAGAGCATGAGAGACTTCAGAGGTTTCTAAATGAATAAAGGACTCCCTGGTCATCAGCTAGATCACAATTAAAATATAAACACATTAGTTTGCAATTGGCCCCATCTAAAATTTATCTTCAGTAATGTCTTCTTTTTTTTATTTTCCATTCAGGAGGTACATGTGCATGTTTGTTTCAGTAATGTCTTCTTAATGAGGGCACAGTGAGAATCCGTAAAAATTACACATGACCGGCCGGGCGCGGTGGCTCAGCCTGTAATCCCAGCACTTTGGGAGACCGAGGTGAGTGGATTGCCTGAGCCCACAGTTTCGAGACCAGTCCAGGAAACTTGGTGAGAACTCGTCTCTACAGTCAATAAAAAATTAACTGGGCATAGTAGCATGCGCCTGTAGTTCCAGCTACTTGGAAGACTGAGGCAGAAGGATCTTCGGAGCCCACCAGGTCGATGCTGGGGTGGCCGTGAGCGTGCCACTGCACTTCAGCCTGGGTGACGGAGTGAGATTCCAACTAAAAAAAAAAATTGTACATGACCAATTTTACTTTAAATCAGTAAGGAATACAAAGGGAAATTCATAGCAAATAGATATTGGTATTTAAGAATTTTTTTCAGGATAATGGAAGATGTAATAACAGATGTGCTAGTATTTAAACAGGTCCCCAAGTAATCCTTCAGACTCAGTCCTTCCATGGGTGCTATGTCTTCCTAGGCACTGTACTGTATGTCTAATAACTCTCTCCAATGGACCTAAATATGGCTTTTCAACCCAAATGATTAGTGAAGAAAACTGAGTGTCAGATACAAGCTAGTGTGATTAAATTTATAGGAAACACTAGAACTTCCCATATTTAAAAATTAATTTGAAACCATGTTAAAAAAAAAAACAAAACATCTCCATGTTTAAACCAGATGAAGGAGAAATTAAATGAAAGTGTTTGGTAATAAATTAATTTCTGTCTTGAGGTAGCATGAAACATGCATTGCCTGTAGGCATATTTTTTAAATTTTCAAACAATAACAATAGACAATATTTTAGAAGCAACAAACCAGCATCATACAGTGAGACTAATGATTATCAATTATGACATGACTCCATCTGTAATTAGGCAAATGGAAAAAGAGAACATGAACAGCCAGAAAACATCAGGTCAGGAATTTAAGTTCTCTATATGGAAAACAGTACAGCATAAACATGGCTAGTATAATTAGCCCACTGCACACAGAGACATCTCACAGATCACCTACCAGCAACTCAACTGCACTTTTTTATGATATGCTGAAAAACGAATCACTTCATATTAAATAGTATATGTTGGAACAAATTATTTTATTGTAATGATATTTGGCTTATAATGGAATTTTGGATAGCAAGGAATTTATGACAAAAAATCAAAATTTTATATATTTTTCTAACGTGTGATAACATGTGAAACAGTCACCAACAGGCATTTCAGGTTCATTGATACATGTTGTGCAATAGGAATTTGTTTAACATCCCACATGGTGTTTTTCTATTTGAGCAGACAATCAGGCTTGTTTTCTTCCTCCCACATTAATAATATATAAGTTATTGTCCAGTCTGTTGTTCAGAGACAACATGGAAGGATGTACTCGTAATTTCTGAAAACTACTTCTTAACTGATCCATCGGAAGCTTGGCAAATTTCAAATGAGACTTAGGTTTTTAATTTTTTCTGATGCTCTGTACAGTATATAGGAGCTAATAACACATATTTCTAGTCACCAGAAGAATAATTTCCTCTAGCATTTTAAAGATTTTCACAAAAACAATATGCAGAAGCATATTAATCTGCACAATCCACACTGCTCATATTTGCAATATAATTTAGAATCATTTTCAGTTTTTTAACTGATATATTTCCATCACATAATGTCCTTGTAGTAGATTTCATTCCTGCATGATTCTAAGTGCTGAGAATTGCAACAATCTTTCTGTCCTTCCACACAAGACATGTAAGATTATTTTTCCTATTTGCTACTGTTTTTGTTGTTGTTGTTGTTGTTGTTGTTAAAAACTTTGACTTTTTGGTATTCTCTTTCAGTTTGACTTTGTACCAGTAAGACATTTCAGCTTCAGTAACTCTTCTTCTAGGACAATACTAGTGTAATGTCTGTTAGTAAACGTGGTATCCTGCTGCACTAGGAACTTTTTCCAACATTTTTTATATAAATGGAATGAAATTCTGGTGAGTACTGGAAGACTGGGTTGAATGATGTTTTTAGATGTTACGCCACCAAAGTAGGGAAGTATTGAAAAAGATACCCTGTTTTTGAATCAGCCAACATATAAATACATATAACCCATTTGGTAGGCTTATTTGGATTGCGTGTTATAAATGATACTCATCCTTTAAATTGAGCAATGGATTTATCAACACAAACTGCCTGACTTGGTATGAAATATTGTGAACATTTTGAATTGATGTATTCCAAATAATTATTGGCATTTTGAATACGAGTTCTGCTCGTCCCATCACTCAACACAGGTGTCTTCAAGTGAAGTATCCAGAAGATGTGCATAAACCTTTCTCCACTGAATGTTTCCAAAAAGAAGGGTATTTTACTCTTGAAAGTAGCTGACCAATACTCTTGCAAATTTGGTACTTGAATTATTCTCATATTTAGGATAACCATGATAAATGCTAAAAATGCCTTTTGGTCAACATCATGCCACTTATGCCCATTGATTTGTGTGACAGCTGCTTTTTCCTTATATTTTCATCTGCATAATGACCTGTTGCTTTTATTACCCTATCCACTAATCCATTTGTAAAATACAGAGTAAAATAGCCAATCAGTTCTCTTGTTTGCTATTTGTGGTCCTGTTGCTTGAGGATATACAACAAAATTGTTCTAAATTATCGATATAAAAGTCTAAATCTAACTCATCTTTGCTGCTGCTTATAACTCTCACTTTTGTCTTTTAATTTTGCCATTGTTCTGCAAACTAAATAAATGGATAAAAAATTTCTAATTGCAAATTATAAAATCATGAAATGAAATTTATCAAAAGACGATTACTTTTCCAATTTTACTTTTATAACTTAGTGCAGATAGATATATTTGATCTGTGCCACTAGATATTTCAATACAATCTTCCTTCAACTTCTAGAGTCTCTTTCTTTAAGGCTACAGAGTAACTTGCTTATCTATCTTTTCAAGTTATGCCATGTGATACAAAGGGTATACTCACAGCTGCCTTTCTTATACAAACCCTCTTTTATTGTTACCTTCTGTCACAAAGAAGTATCAGTACCACTGTGAAAGCACTTCATACATCCTCTTTCTACCATGACGCCAGTTGATTTTTAAAAAATATATCTAAATATATATTCCATCTCTTTATTTGCTTTTTCATGCAATTGAATAGAAAACTTCAAAAAAACAAACATTGTTGAAAAATGTGTGCTTGCATGTTTGTCCTGTGTACTCATCAGCAATCTCTTATGTCCCATGAGAGAGGACATCCAAGTGCAAAGGATTAGAGAAGAGGAATTCCAGGGTAAAACAACACAACTGTACAGTTACCTGTACCTGACAGATAGAGCTCCCGGCTTTCCTTATGACAAAGAGACACTTAACCAAGAGTGACCAACACACACTAGAGATCTCAGGGAAATATGAGCTCTGCTGAGCTCCTCTGTGGCCAAGCTGTGAGCAAGCAGATAACAGTTCTACAGGCACAGGGAAGATAGCACCAGATAGGGAGGGCGAAGGAAACAGCATTTGGGCAGTGTGCCAGGTGTTTTCACAAACCATAACTCAGAGAGGAAAGCAATAGTTTGTGCCCAAAAGCATTCACAAAGTGGTATTCTCCAAAAGACCAAACACATGATGTTCAGATATACAGCCTTAAAAAACCACATGCAAGAACAGTTAGCCTGCAACTGAAGCTTAAGAAACTGTACAAAGGACATGAAAAAAGCATCTTTTCTTCCTTCTCACACTGCAACTGCTCCATCAATGTAAGAGGGAAAATTCAATATCAACTTTTTTCAATAGAGAGA